TTTCATTTAAAATGAGTTTCATGATTATATGGTCACATAAATATTATATCACATTTATTATCACAAATTTACATGTCTTTCTTTTATTTTCTTAGTATAGCTTATTTTTATTTTAATGAACCAAACGTAATAATTCTGTGATTATTTAATCCTCATATTGTAGTTTCAGTATAACTAGTTGCTTCAGATTTTATAATTAGAAAAAATATTTAAATAGAAGAACGGAAAAAGAATGGTATCAGTGTTATGTGACGGGAGACAAGAAGAGAAGAGAAGAGAAAATGGGGCTTTGGGTGGCTAGGGTTGATTATAGGATATTTTAAAGGAAAAGAACTGTTTACCCATGATTCCTTAAATTTTGGGTCAGTTTTAAGATTTCAAATTGGGGAATTTAATTTATGCTATATATGTAAATAAATTTGCTATTTATGAAATAAAACAAAAGTGATGTTGGTTATATAAATATTTTTTACTAATTGCTCTACACTATAAAAATCCCTACATGGAGGCCCATTTCCTCGAAGGTCAAATGGTTTTGTGGGTTATTACAAACTTATTTTTAGTTTTATGACCTATTTTTTTTTTATTACATGAGAGATTTTATTTTACAAATAAGGGATCTATCTTTTACGCATAAGAGATCTAGAAGTATAACGACCCGACTCGTTGTTTTAAGTATTAACTCCCCGTTTAGTGACTTAAGGTCTCGAGCAGATTCACAATATGTATTATGACCCGTGGGTGTGGTCGAGTTTGATTTTTCGGAAGATTCAGAATTAAAATAAAAGAACAACTCTTATTTAGGAGCTTAAATGGAAAGAGTTGACCGGAGAGTTGACTTTTGAGCAACCGACACCGGAATGGAATTTTGATGGTGTCAATATCTTCGTAAGATGATTTTGAACTTAGGTGTATGTTCAGATTTGGATTTGGAAGTCCGTAAGATAATTCGACGCATTTTGGCAAAAATTGAAAAATAGAAGATTTTTGGAAAGTCCTACCGAAGGTTGAATTTTTGATAACGAGGTCGGATTTCGATTCCAGAAATTGGAATAGCTCCATTATATCATTTATGGCTTGTGTGAAAAATTTGACGTCATTCCGGGTTGGTTTGATAGGTTTCGGCGTCGTTTGTAGAATTTGAAGTTTCAAGTTCTTTAAGTTTGAATTGGAGGGTGATTCGTGTTATTAGAGTTGTTTGATGTGATTTGAGGGCTCGACTAAGTTCATATGGTATTTTAGGACTTGTTGGTATGTTTGGTTGAGATCCTGGGGGCCTCGGGTGTGTTTTGAATGCTTAACGGATTGAGTTTGGGACTTATGCAATTGTTGGAGTTGTTGCACCTGGTGTAATCACACCTGCGAACTTTGGGTCGCAGAAGCGGCCATGGAGCCGCAGAAGCAATTTTGACCCTGCCCAGCTGGGACCGTAGGTGCATCCATAGATCCGCAGAAGTGGACGAGCAGAAGCGAAAGAGGAGCGCAGATGCGGGATCGCAGAAGCGACCCTTCTCCGCAGATTCAGAGTCGGATATTCGTAGGAAAGGCATTGTGACCGATTGATTGAGCTTTGTTCGAGGTAAGTATCTTGCCTAATTTCGTGTTGGGGGAACTACCCCATAAGATTTGAGTCTTCTATGTTGATTGCAGTCCGTGTACGCGAGATGATGAGTGTGTGCTCGGACTTATTTGTGGAAATTTTATCTTTTAGGGTTCTTAGGTCCTTGTATTCACTTAGTATGAAGTTGTTCTTGATATGGTTAAGTTCCTATTTACTAGTTTCACCTCTACATGCTTTAATTAGAATTAATTTCTTTAGGATTCACTCTTATTGCCTATCTGACTCTTATTTGACTTAAGTGAAGATTTTACCCCTTCTATGGTCATGCTATCTTTCCACAACTGCTTATCTCTATTTGGAATTATTTGACTCGTGTTAGCTTCCTTGTTGTTGAATTTTATATTGTGGGATCGTTGCTACATATTAGTTTTCCCTTGTTGAGTTGTTCTCTTTACACTTAGAATTCCTTACCGTGGTTATTCCTTGTGAACTGGTTCTACCGTTTCTTTGTGATTTAAAATTCTTAAGATGATTTACTTGTCGTACCTTATATTAGTGTTGTTGTTGTTGTTGTTGTTGTTGTTGTTGTTGTTGTTGTTGTTGTTGTTGTTGTTGTACTTGTTGTTCTTGCATATTTACTTTGGGACTACGGAATGGTATTCCAGGAGATCCCCCTGACTTGTATATTTACTTTGGAACTACGGAACGGTATTCCGGGAGATCCCTCATATCTTGCATACTTACTTTTGGGACTAGAAGACGATATCTCGGGAGTGCTCTCTGTTGACANACCTGTGTGAGCTTTATCTTGTGAAAGTTGTGAGAAAACATTCTACGTGTTGTCCGTTCTTTTCGTTATGCTTACTAGCTGGTATGAACTATGTTAGGACACTTGCACAAGCATACACGTAATTTAGCACTCTTATCGGATAAGAGGTTTTCTTGATATTGTTGAGTATAAATGTACACCCTTGCCTACTTGCCTTCTATGTGAGAATGACTCTATTTGGCACGCGAGTCGTCAATTCAGTTATGATGGGTAATGAGGGCACATGATGCCAAGTGTTAGGGTTCAGGTATTGAGACCCGTGAGTTGTGAATTGTCTGAGGTTCGGTACCTCGTGGAGTTTGTTGACAAAAACCTGATATGAAAGTAGTTGTTGTTGCTGAGTTATTATTTGTTCTTGATGTATCTGTGATTTCGGATTCAGATTGTGTTTCATTCACTCTTCTGTGTCATTTTTATGGTATTCCGCTAATACTATTTGTTTCCCTTATTATTGCCATTACTGTATTGTAAGCCATATTGCATAGTATTTATGTAGATATAATATTTATGTTGTTCATATACTTATACTTGCTCAGTTTATTTAGATCAGTGGGTGTCTTGATTGTTCCTCGTCGCTACTCTACCGAGGTTAGTCTTGATACTTACTGGGCACCGCTGTGGTGTGCTCATTCTACACTTCTGCACATTTTTGTGCAGATCCAGGTATTTGTTCGTTAGTAGCTGTGCGGGTCATTGCTGTGAATACTCAAGGTAAACCTGTTGCTGCGTGCACAAGCTTCTGAGTCACCTTCAAGTTTTCATTTTGCACTATTTATTCTTATTTCTGGACAGTCGTATTTTTAGAAGTTTTCTAGCAGAAACTTTGTAGAGCTTCTGACTTGTACTACTGGTTTTGGGAATTGTAATTTTATAGAGAATTCCATTTCAGAAATTATTAGATGTTACTTTAATATTGTTGTTATTCAGAAGATATCAGGCTTACCTAGTCCCTAAGACTAGGTGCCATCACGATACCCAACGGAGAAAAAATTGGGTCGTGACAAGAAGATACACTTTCTTAATTTCATCATTGTAAAAAGACATGAAGGCCCATTTCCTCAAAGTAATGCCATTAATTCCTACATTATATTGTGTTGGTACACTTTTGTCGCACTCCAAAATCCATATTCCGGTATCCGGCACCGGGCAAATCTATTCGCACAACCAATCCCACATGATGGAATTCGACAATATATATATTATTAAAAGGAAAAAAAAAAGCCTTCGCATTAATGCAAGTGGCAGCCTCACAATAGGCTACTTGGCAAGAAATTTAGAAAAGTCTAATTACTTATTTCATATAATATAAAAAATATTAAAAATATAAAATACATTTTATACAAAATAATAAAAGAACATATTTTGGATGAAGTAACAAATCAAAATTAGTGTTAACTATGAAATTATGTCAGTTATAGATTATAGATAAAATACTAAATTTTAAAAAATAATTAAAACAAAGAAAGTAAATAATACTCAATATATTATTGATAAATTTAGAAAATTAAAGAATTAAGCAAGCTTGAAAGTGAATCAAGTAATAGTCAAACTTGATATGAAGATAATATATTGAAAGTTGTATAAATTATATTAAAAGGATGGTAGTTAAGCTTTATATGAAGCCAAGTGGCATATTGAGAAAAAGTAAAAATTATAGAATGATGAGACTTATTTAAATTTGAGATGAGAAAGTGATTTTTCAATTATGATGAAAAAATACAATGTAATTCCACATAATTATAATCGAAATAAATCAAATCAAATAACATTGAACTTTAAAAGATTTTCAAGTAACGAATAAATGAAAATTACTAACAAGAAAATAAATTTTTTATTATAAAATCATTTAGATAAAACTTATTTGAATTTGAGATGAGAAAGTATCTTTTGAATTATGATGAGAAAATTAATACAAATAATAAAACATAACTAAAATCATAATAGATAAAGTCAAAAATAAAAAGATATAGAATGATGAATGAATTTTAAGTAAAAGAGTAATAAATTATCTATGTTATATTAAAGGGATTAATAAGCGAGGATATTAAATTTAAAGGCAAACCAATAAAAAATTTATATGATAATGTAATCACACTGAGCAACGATTAAAGCAATAACGATAATCAAGGACCAAAAGAAGAAAAAATGGTATAGAATATAAAATTATAAGATTTATTAGAATTTCAAATCAAAAAGTACTTTTGAGTATGGTATAGTCATACTGACACGTGTATATTTGAACCTTTTCAATTGTTAAGGGGCATTATTATTATTATTATTATTATTATTATTATATAACCGTTTTGATATATTAGAGGTTAATTTTAATATTTTGTTTGTCACGTCAAAGTCAAAAGCTGGACAATTGTTACTGGAAGGGTATATTTGAGATGAAAGATCGATAATCGATGGGGATTTTCATGAACCAACATATATGTAAACGAAAGATAAATGTAACACAAATCGAATGTTTACTAATCCTTCTAAAATTTAATGCAAGTTGTAAAATTTAACATTTCAAAATCACGAAAAATTTATAGGAAGGCAACTCCTTGCTAAATCATTTCTCGTATTCCTGTTAGCCACTGCATAAACTCATCAGTTGTATTCCTAGAGAGCATTAGGAGAGATTAAAGTCTCCACATATGTTACTGCACCATACAAGTAAAGTAATGCTTCAAGTCCAACAATTTTAACTTCTTCAAACTTTTGTGTTTTTGGATCGTAAAATAGTAATTCAGCTTTACTCCTCCGAAATAAGATGCCTCCATCCTTCATAAAGCTCACAGGAAGGACATGGATTCTTGTACAAAGCCAGTTATCATCTGGCACTGGCACTGTAATTGCTAATACTTTACTCCATGAATAGCTCATGGTTCCATTCTTTTTCATACGCCAAACCTCGAAATCGGCCAACTCATTAATAAGGGACGAAAACTTTGTCAAACAAAGGCATCCTTCAACAGTGAACAAATTTGGTTTTTCCATTAATAGGTCCCGATGACCTTGAAACAATATTTCTTCAAAATTTTCATTTTTCAAACACAAAGATAAAATAAATTTATTGTCGGGTGGCTCATCTATGATCATATAAACAATTCCATCAGCAACAACCATATCTCCCTCAATGTCATAGCTTACGGGTAGCTTACCAATCAATTTCCACGAGTCACTCTTGGTCGAAAATATTTGAACATCATGTCCATCTGGATGATATATTAATCCTAGTCTAACTATTTTGTAATCGTCTTTGGAAGATGGAGAATCGTACCCTAAACCATAAAAAGTATGGGACTGCTCCTCACCATGAATGGAGATTGGACTTGGGATTTTTCTTGATTCTCTGATGGTCGGGTTCCACAGGACAATATTGTAAGGAGAGAGAGCTAGAACAAATAACCCACTGCAAGAATTCACATATACTTTACCACCCCATGAAGATTCTGAAATTGTTGGAGGCTTAAGAAGAGAGACAACAGAATCATGTTGAAGTGAAGGGGCATCTAAGGAGTAGTGGTAGATTTGTTCCGTCACCATTCCATAACAACTCAGAAAGATTTTTTGATTTTGATAATTTTTTATATCACTTTTGCATCGATCTTGGTGAAAATTGATGAATTGACCATCTTCAATTAGTGAACGCCAAGATTTGACTCGCAGGTATGAGTTCGCAGAAGCGGGATGGGCATCGCAGGTGCGAAGGTCAGCAGAAGCGGACGGAAACTCGTACAAGCGAGTCCGCAGAAACGACTCTAAGGTCGCAGAAGCGGAGGCAATGGGAGCTGGGAAAGACCGCAGAAGCGAGTCCGCAGAAGCGGCAGAATGACCGCAAAAGCGGGACGGCATATGCAGTTAGTTTTCCGTAGAAGCGGAACCCCTGAAAAAATTACAAAAACAGAGGGGTTCCGACATTTTTTGTCATTTGGGACATTTCAAGCACGGTTTTGGGCGATTTTTCAGAGGGAATTCACGGAAAAACTTGAGGTAATTAAGTCACTTGTGATCATTGTTAGTCAATAATATTGGATTATCATTGAGTATTTCGACTAGAATACATATTTTTGAGGTACAATTTGAGGATTTGGGCCTAGGGATTTCAAAATAAGAATTTGAGATTTGGAGGTCGGATTTTGAAAAATTTGGTATGGTTGGACTCGTGATTGAATGGGCGTTCATATTTTGTGACTTTTGTCGGGTTCTGATACGTGAGCCCCACAGGCAATTTTTGAGTTAAATTTCGAATTTTGTTGAAAAATTAGTATTTTTATGTGGAATTAGTTCCTATAATTTGTATTGACTGAATCAAATTATTTGTGGCTAGAATTGAGGCGTTTGGAGGCCGATTCGCAAGGCAAAGGCATTGCAGAATAAAGAATTATGCGATTTGGGGTAAGTAACAGTTCTAAATTTGGTCTTGAGGGTATATATGAAACCCCAGATTATATGTTATGTGATTGATTTTGAGGTGACACACATGCTAGGTGACGGGCGTGTGGGCGTGCACCGTAGGAGTTGTGACTTGGTCAATTCCATGGATGTGTGTAGTTGAATAAATTATTGTTATATGTATATTTTCCACGTATTAGAGAAATCGAACTATAAATCATGTTTAAACCATGTGTTGACACTGTTGGGACCCACATAGGTCGTGTACATGTTGAATTATTTGTTAAATTATTATTTTATATTCAGTCACGATTTTACTTGCATATTACATCCCAGTCTCTATTGTTCATTATTGATGTATCATAGCATTGTTGTTTGGGCTGCTTACCATGATTTTCGAGATCCCGAGAGACTAGAAAGATCGATGGCTGAGTGAGGTCGAGGGCCTGATTGTGAGGATATTTATGGGATCAGGATGCACGCCGCAGCATGTTTCCATGATTTATGCCATGATTGGCTTGTTATAGAGCTTGCGCTTGGTCGACTTTTATAACCTTAATTATTTGTATAATTTAAGGATATAAATATAAATTATGTGAGGTTGATTTTTCTTTCCATTTAAACTACGCATACAACAATGTTGCATAGCCAACTTTGGGTTAAATTCTTTTTATTTGCTGCATACTTCTTCTTGCTATCCTACTTTTTGTTGGACAATATATGGTCAATTTGGATTTTTGGAACTTCTTTTTTGCTAGCCTATTCCTTATTTGACAACAATATGCTTCCTTATTTATTCTTTTCCCGTTTGCATAGAATTCAGCTTTATTGCACGAATCTATGTAGGTAAAGAATACGCCAGTTATTCCTATAAAAGATGGCATTGTTCCACATTATTTATTATTCTCTAAAGGTATTGGTGTAGAAAAAAGCAATTTTCTCCAAAGATATTATTCGTTCTCTCTATTGTTCCCATTTTTCGTAATTGAGTAATGTTTTAGGGTCATGAATATGAATTAGAGAAAAAAAATAATGACATCTTAACTTTTATTGTAATTGTTTTTGTGTCGTACTTCTTTATTATTCGTCATAATTTTTAGTTTTGGATATCAAAATCCTTTACATTGACGTAATATTATGTTTAAATTGTATACCTTTAGAGATCAATGGTTTGTGTGATTACAACTAATGTTAGTGTAACAATATTAATTTTCAGCTACTAGATAATATTTGCAGTTTTTTCTTATATATTGCAGGTATTTCGCGCAGCGTAATGAAATCAAATTTGAAAAAATAATGTATCCCAACAAATAACCTTAAACCTTATGATGTTGAAAGGGTAATTAAGATATTGGTTATTTGAAGAGGACCATTAATAAAATATAAGAACAACAAAGGAGAGGGTTCGTGATGAGCGCAAAACAGAACACAAAATTATTGCTCGCTAGTCAAAGAAAATATAATTTAATTATCGTCAACACAGGGATTGAATTTAAACATTGTTCGAATAATCTTCAGTTGATTACTATCCAGAAAAATTAACACTTGATTTGCTGATTATCAACTACGATCAACTACTTAGAATTAAGCAATTTACAATTGATCACAAAATGCAGGAGATGAGCAACGAAGAAATATCAATGAGAGAAATAAGGGTAATTCACTAATAGGTGCAAGATAATTGACTCGGAATCTAATTCTTGGGTTAGTTCACTCTATAATACTGTTGATTCTCACGAATTTAATATATAATTAAATTACACTTGAAATTAATGCTCCTATTTCGATTAAACATCAATTTCAGTAATTAATCCAATTGAAGTGGGGTAAACAATTGCACCGAATAAAATGATAGTTATGGTCTAAAGGGTAACTTCTCACGGATATTTTCCTATTTTCTAGTTCGATTAACAATTCAAGAGACTCTTTCGATTACCTATTTGAATCACAAATTTAAACTAAAGCATAAGATGTAAAGAAATTCAATATCAAGCTCCTCTTTCGATTAAGCAAAATAAGAAATAACTCCACAATACGAATTAAAATTCCAACAATTACCAAGAATCAAATCCCTAATCAAGTTATCAAAACACCGTATTTTTCAACACCCTAATAGAAATTACTCCACAACTATTAAAAAAATCATCTCAATAAGGTTTAACAACAAAGAAAACATCAATGCTAATGATTCGATACAAACTCCCGTACTGCACCGATCGTTGGTTGAAATCTTGATGAATTCTTGTGTATTTTTGCCTTAGTTGCTTCTCCAATCTTTCGAAGGTCAAAAGTCCCTTCAAAAATGTATTTTGGTATATTTATACCCTGTAGGAACGGGCTCGGATGAAACTACCCTTTCCTAGCCGAAACAGGAAATAACTCTAACAAAATTGCGTGCTTGTGAGGATCTTTAAGGAGCAAACTTTTTTGTCATGCAACAACCTTTACACAGTCGCGTCGCACCATACCGCGCCCCATGCGGCGCTACAGTGTTATTTTTTAAGAGTAATTCTTTTTGTCCACTTTTTGACATCCGTACTTGGTCCTCGACCCCCGAAAGTGATTCCGACTTAATTTATTGGACTTCTTCTCAGACTTCAAAGTTCCAACTTGTTCGATTTAGCTCCAAATTAACTTTTTAACTCGAAATCACTTTCTACAAGGCATAAAATACGTAATAAGTGTAATTCACTATCATTTAAGATCAAACACACGTACAAAATAGTAATTAGAATGCAATACTATGGCTAAAATACGGGTTTCTAGCCTTCCATCAACACTCCATACTTATATCATTGCTCGTCCTCGAGCAATCAAAAATACACTTCAAATAGGGATGACCTTTTCATCAAACAACTTCCCTAACCCATCATGCCAAGAATTTTTAAAGCATACTAGGCACCCTATCATAACATCCCAGCCTCAAAACTCGACTCAAAAGTACCACATATTTTTTTCACAGCCCGCTCACTTACTCTAACACAGAGGTCAATGTCATTACCTTTTTTTCACAAGCCATGTTCCCTCACACCAAAAATAGAGAGTATTTCCACACACAATAAAATTCAAGAACAGATAGGAACTCAAGATGGACAGAATTCGCTCACTCTCAGAATCAAAATTCATATGTAACAGAAGACGTACCGTAGGCTTGCTCGTAGTGTAATACTCTACTAATTGAGCTTAATCAGTCAAAGATCAAGTAGGACTTTAATTTGATCGTAATGTAGATTGAGAGACGGGTGTAATACTATTTGGATAATAGTGGCTATACCTCCCTGGGAACTTTAATATAAATTCAAACCTCACACTCTTATGTTGAGCCAACCCGAACATTCACATCATATTAACACCAAGCTCCCAATTTCTTTAAGCACAGACAACGCAAAACTTACCACTAGCAAGGAATAATTTTTTTATAATATATACAAACATCAATTATTTTTTAATTTTTTTTAGATTCTAATTTTCTCTTATTTTTATCAATTCCGTACCAATAGCTCTCACTATTTTTTCAAATAGTGCACCTTTCCCATTTTCTATAGTTTCACTCAAAAACTCAACCATACCTCCACTTAGCTTTTAACAAGCTTAAAAATGTATCAATTTCTCAAGAGAGGCAAACGGTTCAAATATATAGTCAATTCAAACAAATGGGCCAGGCTTGTAGTGTGGTTGCCAAAAAAAATAGGATCACAGACTCAAAAGGGCCAAATAGGATACAAAACAAGTAGGCGGGTCACAGATATATATAATTGGCTCAACAATAAAATGCCTATATCACTTCCTAGACTGAACAAGACTGCTATTTCGCTTTCCAAACACACAAGATAAGTTCTAGACATCAACTAACATGCACAAAATACCAACACAAACCACACTCACACATTGACACATAACTCACTTAGGATCGGATCTATCCCGACTCTCTAGTCAAGGGAGTTAAGCAAAGTCACAATGNCGACTCTCTAGTCAAGGGAGTTAAGTAAAGTCACAATCAACCAATTTAAGGCACTTATCTATGAATCTAGAATTGAGCCTAGGCACTCACCACTCTCAAGGCATATGCAGTCAAGGAAAATTGCTTCAAATTAGCTCTATGACTCAAGATTCTTTATTCCTAAACAAAAACTAACTACACCCGGTTCAAG